TAGCTGCATGCAAAGGAATGAAACTGGACCACTTTCTTATACCATACACAGAAATAAGCTCAAAATGGATTAAAGACCTAAATGTAAGAACTGAAATCATAAAACTTCTAGAAGAAAACACAGGCAGTAATTTCTTTGATATCACCCTTAGCAACATTTTTCTAGATATGTCTCCTCAGGCAAGGGAAACAAAAACAAAAATAAACTATTGGGACTCCATTAAAGTGAAAAGCTTTTGCACAGTGAAGGAAACCATCAACAAAATGAAAAGGCAAGAGTGACTAGAATTAATAAGACGAGAAATAAAAAGTGTTGGCGAGGATGTGGAGAAGAGGGAACCCTCGTACACTGTTAGTGAGAATGTAAATTGGTGCAGCCACTGTGGAAAACAGCATGGAGGTTCCTCAGAAAGTTAGAGAAATTGGGGCACCTGGCTGGCTTAATAGGTAGAACATGCAACTCTTGATTTTAAGGTTGTGAGGATGTAGAGATTACTTAAAAAAATACCCCCAAATTAAAAAATATATTAAAAAATAGTAATATTATATGATCCAGTAATCCCACTACTGGGCATTTACCCAAAGAAAATGACAACACTAATTTGAAAAGATACATGCACTTCTGTGTTTATCACAGCATTATTAACAACAGCCACAAGATGGAAGTAGCCCAAGTGTCCATCCATAGATGAATGGATAAAGAAGATATATAAAATGGAATATTGCTCAGCCATAAAAACGAATGTTATCTTGCCATTGTGACAACATGGATGGGCCTAGATAGTATTAGGCTAAATGAAATAAATCAGAGAAACACAGATACCATATGATTTCACTTATGTGGAATCTAAAAAACAAAACAAACAGTAAAAACAGATCCATAAATACAGAGAACAAACTATGGTTGCCATGGAGAATGGGCAAAGTGGGTGAAGTAGGAGATATAGACTTCCAGTTATGGAATGAATAAGTTTTGGGGATGAAAGTTACAGCATAGGAAATAGTATTGTAATTAGCATTGTCTGGTGACATATGGTGGTGGGTATACTTGTAGTGAGCACAGCATAATGTATAGACTTGTCAAACACTGTTATACACCTCAAATTGATGGAACATTATGTATCAACTGTAATTTAAAAAGGAGCTGACATAGGGGTACCTGGGTAGATCAGTTGTTTAAGCTTCTGACTCTTGATATCGGCTCAGGTCATGATCTCAGGGTCATGAGATTGAGCTGTGCATCAGGCTCCGGGCTCAGTGGGGAGTCTGCTTAGGATTCTTTCTCTCTCCCTCTGCCCCTTTTCCCAATCTCCAACCCCCCAACCCCCATTCACCCTCTCCCTTCCTCTCTCAATTAAAAAAAGGGGGGGAGCTGACATAAGATATTCGTGTTTATACTTCTCTTTGCATCTTAACATTATTAAAATAAAAAATGAAACCATTCTTTATTAAAAACATTTGTATTAATTTAGGTTTATCATTCATATAACAGCATTAAATTTACCAAAGATGTGTAATGTGTCAAAGACCAGGCATTTGTGTTTCAGTTTCAGGATGGTATCAGGCTTTGTATTCACAGAGAAGAGGCTGTTAGCATTTTTTTTTTTAAAGATTTTATTTATTTATTTGAGAGAATGAGAGAGAGAGAGAGAGAGCATGAGAGGGGGGAGGGTCAGAGGGAGAAGCAGACTCCCTGCTCAGCAGGGACCCTGATGCGGCACTCGATCCTGGGACTCCAGGATCATGACCTGAGCCGAAGGCAGTCGCTTAACCAACTGAGCCACCCAGGTGCCCAGGCTGTTAGCATTTTTAATTCAAATGAAATAAGGTGCACTGATGAAGGACATATTTTGCATCAGTTAGGATTAGGTTTGGCTGTAACAAATATGTGAAAATTAGTGCCTTAAAGAAGATGTAGATTTATTTCAGTCTGAAGAGAGGTAGTTCGGGGTTTGGATGGCAGCTCTTTGGTATCAGGAACACAAGCTTCTCTCATTTTGTTGCTTAGCCATTTTCGCTGTAGGGGCCCAGGGCAGGCTGCCCAAGATGGGCCATCTTGGTATAAAGATTATTTTGAGTTCAAAGTAATTAACTCAAATTGGGTGGCTCATTCAGTTAAGTGTCGGACTCTTGATTTCAGCCCAGGTCATGATCTTCGGATCCTGAGATCGAGCCCTGTGTTGGGCTCTACACTCATCTGGGAGTCTGCTTGGATTCTCTTTCTTCCTCTCCTTCTGCCCCGCTACTAAAATAAATAAATAAATTTTTAAAAAAGTAATTAAAACACAGCAGATACAGAAAAAGCTCTCTGTCCTGGCGCCTGGGTGGCTCAGATGGTTAAGCATCTGCCTTCAGCTCAGGTCATGATCCCAGGGTCCTGGGATGGAGCCCCATGTCGGGCTCCTGGCTCAGTGGGAAGCCTGCTTCTCCCTCTCCCTCTGCCTCTCTCCCTGCTCATGTGCTCTGGCTCTCTCTTCTTTCTCTCTCTATATCTCTGTGTCTCACATGAATAAATAAAATCTTAAAAAAAAAAAACAAGAAAACTCTCTGTCTCCCCAAAATTCCCTAAATTTACACTGGAAAGGAGAGTTTATAACAGGAAGAGAGCTATTAAGAGAGACTTCCCTTTACCTTCATAACTGATCTGCATAATAGGGCAACCTTGTTTTTCCAAACAACTCCTTTCACCTTCTTGCTGGTGGTCTTTCTCCCCTTTGTGTTCTCTGACTGTACCCCTCTCCTTTGATCATATAAGCTTCATGTTGCCTTATTGTCTTTGGAAATTCATGTCTGTGGGGATTCTCCATACATGTAACTATTAAATTTGTTTTTCTTCTATAAATTTGTCCCATGTGAATTTGATTTTTTTTTTTTTTAATGAGAGCATGAGTATGGGGAGGGTCAAAGGGAGAGGGAGAGAAAAAGAATCTTTTTTTTTTTTAAAGATGTTATTTATTTATTTGACAGAGAGAGACATAGTGAGAGAGGGAACACAAGCAGGGGGAGTGGGAGAGGGAGAAGCAGACTTTCCCTGGAGTAGGGAGCCCAATGTGGGGCTCAATCCCAGGACCCCGGGATCATGACCTGAGCCAAAGGCAGACGCCCAACCAGCTGAGCCACCCACGTGCCCCGAGAGAAAGAATCTTAAGCAGACTCTGTGCTGAGCATCGAGCCCTACACAGGGCTTGATCCCATGACCCTGAGATCATGACCTGAGTGGAAATCAAGAGTTGGATTCTTAACTGACTGAGCCACCCAGGCGCCCCTGTCAATTTGATTCTAAGTCCACTTAGAAGGACCATAGGGCAGAGGAAGGTCTTCCTCCCCGACATGGGCTTAGATTCCCAGTGTCCCCTCAGAGACCAAGATGGCTTTAGCTGTTGGGTCCACATTTCCTATAGCAGAAAAGGGGAATCAGAGACAAGAAGGGTGTAACCTCTATTTTTCTTGAAAGTACCATGGCAGACTTCCATTTATCTTGAACTCCAAGTCTCATGGCCATTCCAAGCTGCAAAGAGTTCTTGGAAATGTAGTTTTCTTAGCTAAGTAGCAATGTATTCAGGTTAAACATTGGGATTCTTTTATTAAGAAAAAAGGGAGAGTGATATTGGGAAGGCACATAGCCCCCAAAAAGAAAGGAAAGAAAAGAACATGTCATTTAATTGCCACAGACTTGTGAATTTTTGTTTTTGTTTGGTTATTTGTAACTTCATTTTGTTGTGGTTGGAGGAGGTATTTTTTATGTTATCTATCTTTTTAAGTCTGTTGAGAACTTTAATAGTCTAACATATGGTCTGTCCAAATGTTCCATGTGTATTTGAGAAGAATGTATATGCTATATGGTAGAGTGTTCTGTATATGTCCATTAATTGATACTTGTGTTGAAAATCATTCATTTGGAATTTTGAATGTTTTGTGCTACTTTATTCTACCCAGAATCTATTTGTAAAATAGTTTATCCATTTCTTTCCCCATTTTACTACTTATTTCTGCTTTTGGGTGTTTATTATTTCTTTGCTTTTCATGTTTGAGGTTTGTTTTTGTTTTTGTAAAGAGAGAAACAAAAGTCAGTTGAAGATCCATTGCTAGAAACAAGAAATTAAATATATTACCGCAAAATGAAATTTCAAAAAGACATGCAAAATGCATACCCCAATTTGTTGCTATTTGATTCAACAGACAAAAGTGACACAATTCTATATTTTGTCTTGTCATTAGTGTATCCGTGGACCGTTCTTTCAGTCTGAATGGCTACCTTCTCCAACTCATTTTTTGCTGTATCTTTGAGGTTCTTTTTGAGATATTTTTTCTTTTTATCTTTAGAATTACCTTAAAGGGGCACCTGGGTGGCTCAGTTGGTTAAGCATCTGCCTTCAGCTCAGGTCATGATCCCGGGGTCCTGGGATCGATCCCTACATTGGGCTCTCTTCTTCTCCCTCTGCCTCTGCAGCTCCCCCTGCTTGTTCTCTCTCGTGCTCTCTCTCTCTGTCAAATAAATAAATAAGATCTTCAAAAAAAAAAAAAAAAAAGAATTTTCTTTAGTGGATGTTCTGATTGAAAAATCTTAGTTTTGGGACACCTGCATGGCTCAGTTAGTTAATCGTTTGCCTTCAGCTCAAGTCATGATCCCAAGGTCCTGGAATCAAGTGCTGCATCGGGCTCCTTGCTCAGTTGGGATCTGCTTCTCTCTCTGCCTGCTGCTCCCCCCCCATTTGTGCTTGCTTATTCTCTCTCTCTCTCTCTGACAAATAGGTAAATGAAATCTTAAAAAAAAAATCTTAGTTTCACTTGTCGAAAGTTATCTTTATTTTAATTGGATCGTTTTACAGGATTTTTTTTTTTTTGAGTAGGGAATTATTTTCCTTTAGCACCTTGTAAATATGTTTCCACCATCTTTCTCGGAAGTCACCTATTTAATTTTTATTAAGGGCCAAGTTCATGTATTTTTATTTAAAGTGGTATTGACTAATATAATTATTTTCTTGTGTTCTTCTCCTATAGGGAATACAGTGAGTAACCTGATTATGATTATACCTCCAATTTTTGGTGCAATTCAGAGTGTTAGAGATGGACTGGAAAAGCGGTACATTGCTTCTTATTTAGCACTCACAGGTATGTGTAACACTTCATCTAAAAATGTGTACAGTATTCGGATGGGTTATTTTTCTCATTCATACCTAAAATTGGTTCTTAATTTTATGTTGTTTATTACACAACTTGAACATATTCTGAAACTTCTGATTTAAAACTCCAGTAAATTGAACTACATTTTGAACACAGGTTTTTAAAATTCATTATTTCAAGCATACAGAAAAGAATAGAGATAATATAACAAATATACCCATGTGTCTTACCACTCAGCTTTGTCAGATGTTAGTACTTTGCAATATATATTGTTTCAGATTTTTTTCTTTTTTAAGGAAATAAACTACTATGGATAAAATTGAAGCTACATTTGAATTCCTGCCTGATTTTATTCCCCTCATCCTCCTAGAGTTAACTTCTATACTTAATTTGATTATAATTTTCTCAGGTGTTTTTGTATTTATACTACACATATATGTATAATTAAAAGTATATATAATATGGTTTGCATATTTTCAAACTTTTTTAAAGGATATTGTACTGTGTTTAACCTTTTATTCCTGTACCTTGTCTGTGGAGCAGGGGCTGTGTCTTGGTCATCTTTGTATCCCTATTGACTGGCAATTTAGTGGTCTGCAGTAAGTGTTGGATGGATGGATAAATGAACTTTACGAGAGCAGAAGATGGGAAAATCTCTCTGTCATGTTCTTGCATTATCATCATAACAAGAAAAATAACAAAGTTGATTCTAGTTTGTTTCTTTTCTGTATAACCTTCTAAACACAATTTCTTGTTTTAGCCCAAAGTATTATTTATATATAGGTAGAAAGGACTTTTTTTTTTTTTTGATTTTTCATTTATTTATTTGACAGAGAGAGAGAGAGAGACGGCAAGAGAGGGAACACAAGCAGGAGGAGTGGGAGAGGGAGAAGCAGGCCTCCCGCTGAGCAGGGAGCCCGATGCGGGGCTTGATCCCAGGACCTTGGGATCATGACCTGAGCCAAAGGCAGACGCTTAAATGACTGAGCCACCCAGCGCCCTAGAAAGGACTTTTAATTACTACAAATCAATAAGCTATAATGTGTCATATCAGATGCTGCAATGTGTCATATCAGATTCTACTGTAATTAATCATTAGATATGAGAGACTTCAGTTTTGGAATCCATTTCTTATATCCATGACGTTTTAAGAAAGTTATTTGTTTTAAGAAAGTTACTTCAAAAGGAAGACTTATCTACAAACTTAGCTCTTTGCCTTATTACCTGGAATTTTTTTTTTAAAGATTTATTTATTTTTGGAGAGAGAGAGTGTAGGTGGGTAGGGGCAGAGGGAGAGAGATTCTAATGCAGACTCCATGCTGAGCATCATGACCTGAGCCAAAACCAAGAGCTGGAGGCTTAACCGACTGCACCACCTAGGTGCCCCTATTTCCAGAGATGTTTTAAGAATGTTTATGAAATACTGACAAATCACAATCAGTAATAACAGTAAGAATAAAAAGATTTAAGGGACTTCCTGGTTGCCCTAGGATAATAGTGTCCTCCTAAATTAGAATTTGTCCACTATCCTCCCAGAAAACCATACAGATTAAGAAAGAAAATATATAGTACCACACTTATTCAATACTTTCAGCCTTACTGTGAGAGAAAGAATACTATGAACTTCAAATCATTTTTAAATAAGTAAAAACACCAATTTCCAACAGAACTATCTTTGATGTTTTAGAGTTGGGGAAGTTTGAAAAACTGCATGAAAGAGGAGAGGGGTTGAGAGCCTAAGTCTGAAAAAAAAAATAAAGCTTCACATTAAATGCAAAATTTCTGAAAGCAGTCTAAGATCTGGTAGATTACAGTACTGGCTAGAGGTAAAGGACTTAAAAGTGTGTAAGACCTAAGGTGGCATTTTTGGAAAGGTACCACTTCTGGAAAAGAGATAAATAGAAAGGGGATGGGACTGGGGCGCCTGGGTGGCTCAGCTGGTTAAGTGTCTGACTCTTGATTTTGGCTCAGGTCATGATCTCAGGGTCCTGGGATTTGAGCCCTGCGTCAGGCTCTGTGCTGAATGTGGAGCCTGTTGGGGATTCTCTCTCTCCTTCTCTCTTTCTTTTTAAAAAAAAAAAGTATTTAAAAAAAGAAAGGGGGAGGGACCTTTTGGAGATTTGTCAGTGAAGGGGAAGAAGGAAGCTAGAGGGAGGAATTAAGATCCTTTCGAAACAAAGGAACTATAAAACTTAACAGACCTTTCCCCTTCACTCCCTCTATCACCCAAGTAAGTAAGTATATATGAAAAAGGGCACTGAACCTCACTATTCTGACAGAAGGGGGCAGTCTTGAGCTAGGAATTTTTAAGCCCCCCAAAGTCTTTACTCCTGCAAAATGGACCATATAAAATTACTGTAAAAAGAAAACAAAATGAAAATCAAAATTTTTTGGCTCATGGGCATCCTTCCCTGACAACTAGTTATAAAGTGGAAGGAAACTGTAGCCTAAAACTCCTAGCTAAATTAACTAGGCTCAAAGAAATTAATCAAAATTTAGAAACAAATAACACCCCCTTCTTCTAAAAGAAATAGAATTGATTAAACTTAGGAAAGATATTGAGGCTGAATTACAATGTGTTGAATATTTAATAAGGGCTACTTAAGAAGGCAGAGAAATAAGCAAAAGAATGAAAATGAGATTTAAGAAAGGGCCAGAGAGAAAGTGATTGAAATGGAAGAGAGGCAGAGAAGACCTCATAAACATATAATTGGAGTCCCTGGAGAAGAAAAACAAAACAGTGGGGGCGCCTGGGTGGCTCAGTTGTTAAGCATCTGCCTTCAGCTCAGGTCATGAGCTCAGGGTCTTGGGATTCAGCCCCATAGAGCCCCATGTCGGGCTCCCTGCTCAGCAGGAAGCCTGCTTCTCCCTCTCCCACTCTCCCTGCTTGTGTTCCCTCTCTCACTGTCTCTCTCTCTCTCTCTCTGGTCAAATGAATAAATAAAACCTTAAAAAAAAAAACAGTGAAACAGAATTTACATTTAAAATTATAATTCAAAAAACTTTTTAGAAATGAAAGAAATGAATCTGTATTGAAAGGTCCATTTTTGCCTCTTAAAACTGACTTGCAATAGTTAACTCTGAAACATAGCCTTGTAAAACTACTGGATTTTAAAAATGAAAAAAAAAATTTTTAAAGCTCTAATGAAAAAGGCCCAGTTACTGACTAGGGCAAATAAATTAGGCCAGCATTTGACCTCATCAGCAAAACACAGAAAGGCACCAATAGAACAGCAGTTTTAGTGTCAGCCATAGATTTTCTATTCTAATCAAGTTGTTTTTCAGATAATCTAGGTTATAGAAAGACGGTTTTAAACATACAAGACTCCTTCCTCATGAATTTGTGAACACTGTACTAATTTAGTAGCTACTAGCCACATGTGTCAATTTAAATTTAAATTAATTAAAATTAAATAAAATGTAAAATTCAATTCCTCTGTCACACTAGCCACATTTCAACTGCTCAATACTCATAATGTGGCTTGTAGCTACCCTATTAGGCAATGCAGATATAGAACATGTCCATCATCACAGAAAGTTCTGCTGACTACATTATATCTAGAGAATGATGTTCATCCAACTAAGACAAGACTGGGAAAACTTTGGCAAAATGTCTGATGGTGAGCCTTTAATATATTTAACTATAGATCTAAGGCTAATACAGGTGGGATAGGGTTGAAGGATAATATATGGACACATTATATGGTGTAATAAGTAGAAAGAATGAAGTTTTTTTAAATGAGAGAAGGAAAGGGCAAAGTAGAATAAGTTCATTGACTGTTGCCTAGGTAATAAGTTGAGTACTAAAGAATATGATTTAAAAGTAACAAATTGTATTGTAAAAGGTCAAGTAAGAAAATAAAGTGGAATAACCCGCCTAAGTGCAAAAGAAACCCTTAGAACAAAAAAAATGCCTTTTCTACATACCAAAAGAAGTTTTTTAAAGAGCAAAAAAGACTTATCACTTAAAGAAATACATTAAATACAAAATAATATGTGTAACAATTATAGTAAGAAATATGATTGAGATTAAACACATCAGTCATATCAATCAATACAAATCAGCTTAACTGTCAAAAGAAACATTTTCAAATTTGCTTACTAAACAAAACCAAACTTTATGCTTTGTATAAAAGATACACCTAAAACAAAATGATTCAGAAAAATTAGAAATCATAAGAAAGTAGTAGTGATCTTGATATCATATAAAGTAGAATTCCCATTAAAAAGCATTAAATGTGATATAATTCTAGAATGTTTATATTAATTATATTAATTAGAATGTTATATTGAATGTTTATAATTCTAGAAACCATGATTCACAATGAAAATATAAGTTATGAATATCTCTGCACCAAATAATACAAATACTATTTTTATATAGCAGAAACTACAAAAGATACAAGGATAAATAGAAATATAATAGATTATCGTATGCCGCACTCAGTACAAGACAGCTGAAGTGAACAAAAAAAATCAACGATTTCTAAGACCTAACAACATAACCAGTAAAGTAAACCACATGGTTTATGCTGAACTTCACACCCTGATAATAGAACATATACCCTCTTCTCAAGTGTGCAGAAAACGTTCGTAAGAACAAAAGAGTGAGTTCCATGAAGAAGAAAGAATAAAATAATATCCTCTGATCATAATGCATCCATGCTAAAAATTAACAACAAATTCAAACCAGGAAAAGGTTCTTCCTTTTCAGAATTTTAAAATCCTCTATTAACTCTTGATTGAAAGGGAAAATGTAAAGTGAAATTATAAAATCCTTAAAATAGAGTTGTAACAAAAATTTTGCCTATCAGATAAAGCAGCCATCAGAGGGACAATCCATAGGCTTAAACACTTAATAATAAAAGATTAAAAAGTGAAATATATTTTTTAAAGATTTTATTTATTTTTATTTTATTATTTTTTTTAAGATTTTATTTATTTGACAGAGAGAGACACAGTGAGAGAGGGAACACAAGCAGAGGGAG